TGAATGGATAAAGAAAATTTTGTATATACACACAGTGAAATAGTATTTAGCCTTATAAAAGAAATAAATCCTACCATTTGTGACAACATGGATGGATCTGAAGAACATTATGATAAAGGAAATAAGCCAAATACAGAAATACAAATACTGTATGAACTCACTTATAGGTAGAATTTAAAATAGCCTCAAAGAGGCATAGACTAGAATGGTGGTTGTGAAGGGCTAGGAGGAAAGGAAAATGGGAAGGTGATGGTCAGAGGTTACAAAGTTTCCATCATGCAAGATAAATAAGTTCTGGAAACCAACTACATAGCATAATGCTTATAAGCTAACAATACTGTATCGTATACTCTAGATTTGCTAAGGGGGAAGATCATATGTTAAGCCGTCTTACCACACACATATATTCAAAACAATGATAATCATAAAGTAGGTAGGAGGAAACTTTGTGAGGTGGTGGATATGTCTATGGCCTTGATGGTGGTGATGTTTTCATGGGCGTATACTTATCCCCAAACTCATTGAGTTGTATACACTAAATATGTACAGCCTTACATGTCAATCATACTTCAGTAAAGTGGTTTAAAAATAATAAAAACTAATTTGTGTAGTTTTAAGCCACTAGGTTTCTGACGATTTGTTACAGCAGCAATAGGAAACTAATATAAGCATTGTGGGAATATTATAAAGACCATGGACTTTGGAATCTAATGGACCAGAATATTGAGTTTTTTTCTCTGACAACTTACTAACTGTGTGATTTGGGGCAAGCACCTAATTCTGTGTAATACTGGATTCTTTATCTGGATATAATAAAACCTGCTTCAATAGGATTGTGTAAAGATTTAATAAAATTACTTGTGAGAGAGCACCTAAGCCCTTGAGCAGAGTAAAGGGTAATTACTCTCACTGCCATTTTTAAGTATTTGCTCTATGTCGGGCATTGTACTGGTACCTTATATTTGCTTTTACATTAATTCTTCCAGAAACCCCTTTGGGGTGTCCTCACCCAAGAGAATATGGGGTTCAGAAGGCTAAGGTACTTGGCCAGAATCATGTCATCAGAAAGTGAGACATATAACAATTAAAACATTTGAAAGAAATAGAGATGTGTAAGAATGCTTATTTCAGTGGTAGGCCATTGATTAGACATTTTAAAGCTGATACTTATATCCGGTGTCTTTGAAAAGAAAGCTTCAAAGTAGTTATTTCTCAGTGCTTAATTTATTAACAATGCCTGATTGATAGACTATCTATACGATCTCTTGCCATTTTAAAGAAATATGTATTTTGGAACCATTCTGTACTCGAACTCTTTTATGAATAAAACTTTCATTGTAGTAACGAATGGTGAGTAGAGGTTTTAGTCAACAATGTGTATATATACATATACAAATATATAAGGTATATATTATAGAACACTGTGTATATTAATATACATATTAATATTAGAGGTAGAGCCTACTGGATATATGTAGCTTATGTGTAAAATGTAAAGGTCTGAGGAGAAAAGAAATCAATGATTTTCTTAGATTTTGAAACTGACCAAGTGCCCAGTAAAATTAACTGAAACTGGGGGAGGGGTATGACAAAGAGTTCTTTTGGATTTGTTAAATGTGAGAGTCTTTTGCACACCAAAATGTCAAGTGGAGAGTCAAAAGGGATTTTGAGAGAGCACACAACACACAGAACTCTGCATTCTACCAACTTCCCTTCACTCTGATCCTCAGCATTCTCCTTTTGTTCTTTTCCAACGTCTCTGGCCCCAACAGTGGGCCTCTCTGCTGTGTACAGTCCTCTGGGGACTGAAGATTGGTCTTCAGTTTTGGCTGCTTTTCTCCAGAAGAAAAGCCCTGTCTCCAAGAATTTTGGTGAATAAAACTTTCTATCTCATAAAAACTATAAACAGCACAATCTGTAGATTTTTAGCTGCCAATATTTGTAACCATTGTATAGCTGAGAGTTTCTTTCCAGCTACATGCTAAAACTGAATCAGGTTACCTTATAAGTATGATTTAAATTAAAGGCAAGATTTCGTTTAGTATTCTAGTGATTTCCCGCAAACTGCATGGATTGGAATTCTTTTTACTACAGAATAGTTCAAAGATAAAATGAGATTGTCTAGATAATTTTCTTGCCCTTTGAATAACCACCCAACTCTATCTTAACCTACCTCCTTCTATAATCATTGGTCCAGAAAATTATAAAATAGCATTGTATGTTTTGTCTTGAGAAATATTAACATCTGAAGAACAATAGGAGTTTGGCATATAACAGTTGGAGAAAAATTTTATTGAGAATTGAAATTAAGATGAGTGACCTGAGTTCAGTTGTGTCCTTTCCCCAAAGATATGCTGAATCCTAACTCCCAATACCTCAGAATCTGATCTTATTGGACATAGGGGTATTGCAGATGTAATTAGTTAAGATAAGGTCATACTGTAGTAGGGTGGCCCCTTAAACCAATATGCCTGATGTCCTTAAAAGAAGAGAAGAGAGACACAGTGGGGCAAGACAGCTTTGCGACAACAGAGATAGATTGAAGAGATGCATCTACAAACCAACGAAAGACAAGTTTTTCAATAAGTCAGAAATTGAGAAGAGGCAAAGATGGACTGTACCCTAGAGCTGTCAGAAAGAGCAAGGCTCTGCTGAGCCTTATGAGGAATTATGCTAGAGCATAAATTCCTATCGTTTTTAGCCACTAGTTTTGGTACTTTGTTATGGCAGTCCTAGGAAACTGGGAAATAAAGAACAAATACAGTATATGCTGATAGATCACTTTATTATGCACAGAAAGTTTTTTTTTTTAATTTTTATAGTACAATTAACACAGAGAACAAAGTAGAAAAAATCAAGTAGTTCAGAGAATACTATTATTACTGATTTAAAACTATTGATCATTGATTTCAGGTGTGTGTTGTTCATGTAACCCTATTTGATTGAATTTTCTTTTTTGTTTTGGAAAAGCTGGATATTATTTATGGGTCAAATTATGTTTATATTCCAATATCATACATAGGATAACACAAATAATACTTTTTTGAATTATTTTGTAAAATACACTTTTGAAAGCACTTTGGATGTATTTGTTATATGAGGGCTAATATAACGTTGCCAGATGGGTAAAGGATTTTTGAGTAGGAAGAATCATCATGAGCACAGAGCAGATAGGACTTCCCGCAGAGCCTGTCGATAAAGAGAAAACGTTCAGATTGAGTCATTGCTAATACCCTTATGCTTTCTTGTTTCTGACTGGTATCTAATATATTCCTTTGTGACTGAGCAAGCGCTCACAGTTGTGCATTTGTTATCCCCTGCTTTGTCTCCACCAAATGGTAGTCAGACTTCTCTCCTTCCTCAGTGCCCCTGAACTCTGCTTACCCCCAAGCCTGAGCAAGCACAGAGAAGTGGAGCGTGTCCCCTGACCAGCTTATCCTGAGAATCGGCTGACCGCAGTGGACACTGTTCCTGTCAGATTCTACTGGTCATTTCCCTCTGCTTGCCCAATTTCCCCTTAAGAGGCTGCTAATCTTTGCTTACCTCTCCTTACCCTATAGAAGAAAGGCCTTTTTCTGTTTGATATTGAGATGTTTGCTGAGATTTGAGGGTTCTCCCTATTGCAACGTCTTTATGCTGAATAGTCTATCCTCATCTAAGTTTGGATTTGTCTTGATTTGACATGACAAAAGATCCTTGACCAAAAACTGTGCCTTGGTTAAGATCATTCACATCAAAAAACATTACTAAAATTATTCTAAAGCAGTTATATAACCAGACTCCACTTTAGAGGATGTTGTTGCTATCTATACTACATCTTTTTTAGTTCAAGCTCATATTACTCATGCTAAATTATTTTGATGGTTTCCCGGTGGACTTCATTATTGTCTGTCCGCACTCCCTCTCATTCCAGCCTCCACACTCTTGCTTGTGTAATATGCCTAAATGATCCATCCAATCCCGTCACTTCTTTATCAAATGATATTCTGACTGATGATTGCCTGATTTTATATCCGTTGTTAAAACTGGATAATACGTGTTGAGTGCAGAGATGCTGACTTATTGGTAATTATATCCCCAGTGGCTATCTCATTGCATGCTCACAATGTGATCGAGAAATATCTGATGACTGCTTGAATACAAATGTCATTTGGACTCTTATTTCCTAAAATAATAACACAAGAAACAGTATTTATTTTCAATTCTTTCTTTTCAATCTTTTAAACAACTTCTTTATTTCCATGTCTTCAAATCTTGTAGCCAAACTAATTATATACCAAGCTGCAATTACTTTTCCTGGTACTTCAGGGACTTAAGAAATATTGAATGAATATTAAAAATTCATTGAATGAATTTCTAAAATCTTTTTCATCCACTTCCCACTTCTGCCATGAGGTTCAGTGGTTCAGTTCTGCATTTTAGTCCACTTGGCTTTTCAATGTGAATGGTATTCTCTCTCAATTTAAGGTAGCCAGATTATCTTCTTTAGCATCTCCTACTTAAACCAATCAAAACTTACACATAAAGCAAAATTCCCTGAAGGAAAACAACAACAACAGCAATAACAAAGAAGGAGACAAATAACAGCAGAGCATTGTCTCTTTTCTGAAAGACTTATGTGCTAGGCACATTGATTTGCTAATCTCCTCCTAACAACTTGCATCCTTTTCTTTTTTTCTGCTTTCCTGATTTGAACTTGCATTCATTCATCATCAGTTCTATTGCTAGCTTTTCTTAGGGCCTCTCTCATGTTTCTCATAAGTCTTTCTATTACCAACTTGTTTCCGTCCTCTTGCCCCTTGACTTAAATGGATTCTACACATTTCATCCAAAATTATAACCCCAAAATATTTTTAATGTATCCTTTTTTGATCAAATATCATCAGCTCTTATCTAATGCCTAGAGAGTGAAGTTCAGACTCTTCACCGTGTCACTAAGGGCAACAGGAAATGCCATTTGAAGAAATTCTCCAAGTGCATTTAAAATCATTGAAATCCTTTGGATTTATTTTAACTTTGAATTGTAGGCCCGTCTTCTTTTATCTCCAAAAGTATTGCTTTATGTTGGAGTGAAATAGTCACTGTTTCATAGAATTTTGAACATGTAACGTTGTTTTAGATAAAATTGACTTTCTAAAAAGTGACTTGCTAACATTTTTTTATCTCCTTTTTGGTACTATGTTACAGCAGTAGTCCCTATCCTAATTGCTCAAGGGAAAGCTTCCCAAACTTTGTGGTATGGTAAAGCATGTAGGAATCTTATTAAAATGCAGATTCTATTTCAATAGTTCTGGATGTGGCTTTAGACTCTAAATTTCTGACAAGTTCCCGGATGATGCTTGTGCAACTGCCCCAAAGATTATATTTTAGAAGAGAAAATTTTAAACAACCTCCAGGCACAGATTTAGTGGCAGGCAGGCTGCAGTCACAATTATAGACTATTCTGATGAAAGGCTTTTATGTAATATGTCTTTAATAGTCTCACTTTTTCAGCAGAGTGGTTAAGTATTCCTGTAATTCCTGTTTTGTCCATGAGACATTTGAGGTTTAGAAAAAATGAAGAGTAGTTCAAGTTCATCAAACTAGTTGTTGTCAGGAGCAGGATACAAAAACAGATGTTCCTGTCCCCAAAATCCAGTTTCTTCACCCTCGCACAGAAGTGTTCTTTTGGTAACATTTAGATAAATAAATACACTTTAGGAGAGCTACTCCAGGGTATGTTTCTTAAACTGAGGCTGCTTTTGGTTTGATGGCTTGCTTTTGTTTTTTCTTGCTGCAACTGTCACCTTGAGATTTCTGGAGAACTAAAATGTCACTAGATCCGGCTTACCTCTGTAATCCTGTCCTGTGGGTGTTGAGCAGCACTCTAAGGAGCTGGATTTTGATCCTCATAAGGATATGGATAATTTTGTGGAAATGACGGATATGGTAGAACTTGTGGAACTGGCTGTTGTTCGTAATACCTTCCCTGTACACAAACAAAAGGAAAGAGAACATCGCAGAGAAATGAGACAATGACCGTGCAAATATTTCACAATAAGTTCATGTAAAAAAGTTAGACTAATAAAGTTGGTAGTACCTTCTATTTCATCTCCATGGTGGTATTTTCCAACCTTAGTTAATTTTTTCACTTTTTTATAAGAAAAATGTTGAAGAGAAGAAAAATGATAAAGAGTTTCCGTTTTTACTATTTGTTGACAATTTTGTTGTTTTATAATACATGTGGGCCATTGATTATAAGCAACCACTCAAAAAAATAGCTTTTTAATATCTTTTATAATGTTACCTCTAAGGTACTACTTTGCGCATCCTTGACCATTCCAGGAAGGAGGAATTTACTAATTCCAGTTTAGGTGGGATTTTTCTTTCTCCCTTTTGACTTATAATGAGCTAATTTCCTCTTAAAACTCCTACGTTCTTTAAAATTTACTTCTGTTAACCCAAATATCCTTTATCCCTCCTTCTCATCTTTTTATTTGGTGCCATTTTAAATTCATCCCTTTACTACATTAGTAAGATCAATGTTTGAGACCTTATCACGTTAAGATGACATGCCAAAACAATATGAGATATCAAAGATACGTTTCATTCAGAAAAATGTTAAATAAATGAAATTTTCTATCTTAATTAACATGGTCAGGTTAACCTAATGATTTCACCACCCTCCAAAAGAATCAGAAGGTGGAAATTTACCGCATCATATGCGTTTTTAGCAGCCTCTGTGCTCCATTAGGCATATGTTATATTTAACCGAATTAGCATTTCAACTACTTTTAGATCAATGCAATTCTTTACCAAAAAAGACACAAGATCTGAGAGAATAATTGACTTCTTTAGGGTGGCATTATGAGTTTCCATTTAAATGCTATTAGTACCCGAGACTTTTGGGTCCTTTACCAGTGTATCATAAATAAAATCAATGTATACTTTAGCCAATCATTATACAGATATATTGCAGAGATAAGTATTGGTTCTTATTACAGAAGAAATTCTCAGAAAAGAAAATATGTTTGTAGTGTACCACATTATCACAGGAATACTCACAAAGTATCGTCTTCTATACCCATGATGTCTCTGTGAAAATAAAGAACTGATTACAATTTTAATATGTGTTTAATTTCTAGTTTTCTAGTAAATGAAAGTGTCTTACCTCTTCAGATGAATCGGCTCTCTTGGAAAAAAGAAAAAAAGAAAATAGTTGTTAACATCTTAATTTATAACTCTAGATTGAGTGTAAAAATGCACTTAGCTGCCACAATTATGATTAAAAAAAGTGGAAACAAAGTCTTGGGTAACTGATACACTAAACTAGTTTCTTTTCTGTATAATGACGTCTTCAAATGAGTGATGAGTAGACTTTTGCTATAAATAATTTGCTACATTCAAATATCAGTTCACTTTGGTTCTAATTTCTTTTGTGTCTAAAAGGGAGGAAAATCTATCACTGTGATGAGAAGAGTGAAAAATGAAAAGTTAAACTTTGAATTTGCTCCAGACAAATGGTTTTTATATGAATGTGTTTTAAGTAGCTCTAAAGCTCCTTACATTCAAATCTTTGTTGTGCTGATAAGAGTCTGGTGTTACGTTTTTGTCTGTTCTTCTTGAGTTTTATTTTTTCCATTTCTAGCCTCTTGTAAAAACATAATTTGATAAACTATGATGTCATAATCAATTTGTTCTTGAAACATCCACTAGAACTTGTTGGTTGAATTGAAGTGTTATCATTACTTCTTGACGAATTTCTCAGTAACTAGACAAAGTATACCAAAGTGAAAGGAATCATTAATGTTAACAAAAGAGGAAACAAAGAGGGGTAGAGAGGAGGAAGAGGGGGAGGAGGAAAGAGTTTCAGAGAGGTCAACTGCGTGTGTGTGTGTGTGTGCGCGCGCGTGCGTGTGCACGTACTCAAGATTTATTCTGTCTTAATAAGCTTATGTAGGTGAATTCAAATAAAATGTCCATATAAAAACATTGAAAATTTTAAATCCACGTTCAGGTAAATGCAAATATAGCCCAGAACCCAGGAAATCAGAGAGATGTTTTAGAGAATTACTGAGAACATATTCTTCAAAATTTCCTGATATACTTACTATCATGGCAACCAGAAGAACCATGAGAAAGGCAAATGCAAGGATCTTCATGTTTGGCTGAGTCCTGTGAAATCATATATGAAAAATCAGTAGTACATTCATTCCTGTATCACAAATCAAACATTTGCTAGTCAAACTAGGCTCCAAAGCATTGTGAAACAAACAAGAAATACAAAGACAGTTGAAACACATTGCCTGACATCATGGAACTTAGAGACTAGTGGGGACATTGATAAGAAAAGACAAGTGCTCTGATATGGAACACTAAAATGCTATAAAAATACACAAAATGGACATCTTAAACAGATCAAGAGAATGGAGGTATTAAAGTAAAGAAAAGGTAAACATATAGTTAGAAGATACAGAATGAGTAAAGAGAGTTGTTGGGAGGCTGCAAAGAAACAAAAATGAGAGAAAGGATAGCATGTAGAAAGTGAAATCATTCAGCATCTAAGAAGGACAAAAGTAGAGACTGGTTGACCACTTCGATGGTTGTGAGATTAAAGGGGCCATACGTAGTGATATTAGGGGTAATAATTAAGGCAGAATTGAAAGAATTTTTAGAACGTAGAATGATAAGCCACAGCGACTGGTTTTATAATAGAGTTAGTGAAAAGGAGCCAGGTTTCTGGCTTGAAAATTTTAGATGGTGTAACCTTGGTATTTGAAAATTAATTTTACTGGGTAGAGAAAAATCAAATCGAAAAGAAGTTTCACGGAAAATACTCGTAGATACTTTGAGAAACTGAATTGGTAAAATGATTTAATCTTCCAAATGATCTTATTCAACAAAATTAACCCAGTCTGGGACTCTTGGATATGTTTTCGTAATACCGTATAGGCAAATGAACCCCATTCTGTTGCTGTTGAAAAAAAGTAAAGCAGATTATTTATTTCTGAATTATAGACATCTAAAAAAATATTTTATAAACTGTAAGGTAAATATCGGGTAAAGGCTTTTTTTCTGCTCAATAATCTACAGTTTATAAATGGTTTTCAACTTATTCTAGCAAACAAAAAATTAGAATAAGACATCATATTAGATTGTAATGAATATATTACCTTTTACTGAAGATGAGACTCAAGAGTCAGAGACGCTGAAATTCTGAAGCCCTAAGAAATGATCTGCTTTTCTGCAGGACTCATCTACTTAAACACAGCTAAATCCTCCATTTGTTATTCTAAATCATGTCAATTATGAGATCATATTATAGAACTGAAAATAATGCCCAAAATCTGTCCCCACAGATACTAAGAATAAACTTAACACAGTGATTTCACAACAGAAGACTGTGAAGCAGAGTGACCAGGAAACAAATGGAACCAGCAAATGTTAATCCCAGTGTTAGTCTAGGCATGTGTGACTAAGACAAAGGGAAAAGTATGTTAGAGTAGATGAAGTGTAGGAATAAATTGAAATGGTAAAAATGTTTCTGTAGAACACTCTACTCTATTTCAATAAATGTGTGTCCAGGTGGAACAAGTCAATGTCAAAAATGATGCCAAAATGTTCCCTGTTACCTAACAAATGGTGATGACTGGCATAACAAAATCATAGTCACCATTTGTTTCTATTGTGTTCCCTATAAATTATTAAATTGTACTTTTATTCTATTGACTTCAGAATATTTTAAGACTGAAAACATATTCAAATGTTTGCAAAAATTTAGTAAAGTGTTGGGAATTGTGTGATTAAAATAATTCCTATTTTTAAAGTCAAATGTCCATAGGATCTCAGTACTATATATCTCACATAGTAACTAGATGCATATGGTTTGAAATATAATTCATTTCCTTTGAGTCTTTAGAGGCCCATGTTCCTCAATGGAATCCACGTGTTGACATGATTATACTAGAGAGAAGGAAAAATTAGATTTCACTAAGTGCCTAGTCTAATGCAGATAAAAACTGACCTCTTTGCTACTGGCTGGATAATTCAATGTGCTCAGAACTGAATATCATAAAATCATTTGTAAAGTTTAAACAAATTATATATGCTAGTCGTTGTTATTCAAAGTCTATTGGGTGGGACCATCAGAATCAGCATCACCCGAGAGCTTGTTGGAAATGCAAATACATAGCCCTTCTTCCCAGACATGTTGAATCAGGATCTTGGAGGTGCACTAGGAATTTCACTTTAACAATATCTCTAGGGGATTCTCTGTGTACCATAAAGTCTAAGAAGCCACACAATAGACTCATAAATGTATTATTTGTCTATAGAATTGACCCTATTAATAGAACTTAACGTTTAATTTTATTTCAGGTGTTTTAAGAAAATATTTACTAGGTGAAACTTCTTTGCTATCCTTTAACATTTCATTACAATGTTTTGTTTTTCTCTGGGTAGTATACAAAACAATATAAATGCTTTCTTAGGACAAATAAATAATTAAAATCTAAACAATTTAAATCAGTCTTATTGCTCTTTATTTCATTGATTTTTAAGCATCATAGATATATAATCTATTCTTAAATGAAAAACAAATCCAATCTTGATATATTCTGAATGGAAAAAAGGTGTATAGAATTCAGTAACCATTGAGATAAGTCTGATTTTCAAAAATAAACCTTGCTGTATTCATTTTGAAAATGTCAAATGATTTTCTTCCTTCCTTCCTTATTTCCTTTATGTCCCCCTCCTCATTGCCTTTCTTCCCATCCTTTCCTCCCTCATTTATTTCTTCACGGATTCATTTAGCCCACGTTACTAGACTCTATTTTCATAGACCTGTGAAATTCATGGTGTAGTGAAGAAAATGTGAACAAATGCTCCAAAGGCACCACCACACAATG